AATGCACTCAATACGAAGCATAGCACGGATTACAATTTTTTTAACATTCCAACAATGCAACTAGTCCGGGACTAATGAGCATTTTTATTCTGACTTAAACTACTACTACTACTACTACTACTACTAGAACTAAACTCTGAGACTACACCCACCGGTGTGTCCCAGCATCTGGTGTCTTGGGCACATTGTTGTCGCACCCGTATCACTCACTATTTACAACAACGCGCACTTGCACTACACTAGTTCAAACGGTTTGAGTCTCTTGAGCCTTCTCACTGTCCTCCTGTCAAGAAGCTGTATCGCTTCCACGTTGGTCTGGTTGTGAAGCCGATCTTCGATGCTATCTTCTTGGCTATCCTTTGAATTTCGGCTGTGACCATCCTAATGCCAAGATCCCTGTGGATGTCACTATTACGGACGTACCAAGGGGCATTTGCTATTCCCCTCAGCTCTTTGATCTGAAATCTCTGTAGTCTTTGAATGCTACTCTTACCGGCACAACCTCACAGCTGTATTCCATCTCCAGACCGGTTTTATGACCTGGTTGTATATTAGTATTTTGTTTTGTATAGATAGCTGGGACGTCGTATCTAAAGGCCACTTTGCTCTCCTGTATTTGATGTTAAGTTCTTCTATTTTCTTTTTCATGCGTTCTTTCCTTCGCAGTTTGGCGTCTAGCGTCATTCCTAAATACTTTGCCTTGTTCGAATGAGGTATTTGGTTGCCTTTGACTGTTACGTTGATATAACCCACTTTTCGATATGGATTACAATCGATTTTTTATTGTTATTATTTTATTGTACCATATAATACACTGATGTAATGGAATAAGAACTAGTAAGTACGCAGTACATTTTGTTGAACCATACTGAAATACTAATACAACGCATTAAAATAAATGACTACAATTTTCTATTATACTAAAATTAAAGCAGCGCAATAAAATCGTTAAAATAAATTACTGGTGAATTTTGTTGTATCATACTGAAACACTGATGTACAGCCGTGAAAACTTTTAAATAAATGTTTAAATAATTTTGTTGTACCATACCAAAACGATAGCATAACGTAATAAAAATTAATATATAACAAATTAATCAATTTCTTGCCGTACTAAAACCTTAACGTGCCCAATGAAAAAATAGATAAATGGTCAGTGAACTCTGTTGGAGCTCACTAAAATATTATAACAATGCAATGCAAACGTAAAATAAATACTTAATAAATGTTGTGCCGTACAAAAAGGCACTCACGTAGCGCAATGAAGACGCTGAATAAATTGTTCGTGAGATTTCTTCGCCGTATTTTAATAAAAAACGTAGCGAATTAGACGCCCGAGAATAAGCAAGTAATGAATGTTCTTGTTCCTTCCGAAATCACTTACCTAACGCGTTAAGGAATAATAAATAATAAACCAATTGTGTTTTACCATGCCAACACACCGACGTAGCATACAAATGTAATAAAAAGGATTAAATGATGAATTCTGTTGTACCGTATTTAAACACTAACGAAGAGTAACAAATCATTTAAATGATTAGTGGTGACTGCTGTATTTTAATAATACATGAATTTAACTCAGTTGTAACTTCGGAATAATTAATTCCTGATTTGCTTTGCACATTACGAAGACACTAATGCGATGCGATAGAAACAAGTGAATAATTGATGACCACTGTCTTACTGCACTAGAACCCTGATGTAACGAACTAAAACAGATGAAATAACTTAACTGATGCGTTTTATTGCACTTTACTAAAATACAAATACAACCTAAGAAAGTTAAAATAAATGATTAAATTCCTTATATCTTACTGAGAGTCTGGCGTAACGCGGTTCGGAGAAATAATCGATGTTTTTTTTTTACTGTAGTGAAGCAATAACGTACGTAACGTAAGAGAAACTAAGAAATGATTAACTGCTCAGTTTTGTTGAAGCATACCAGACCCCTAACGTGACGCAATAGAAGCTAATAAAAATTAAACTTGTGAATTCTGTTGTATCATATTAGAATTCTAACCTAACGCAATATAAACTAATAATTATTAATTGGTGAACTTTTTTGTAATGTACCGGCGGTCTAACGTGATGCAATAAGACTAATGAATAATTAATTGATGAACTCTGTTATGCCATGCTCTCTAATGTACCGCAGCCGAGCTTTGTTGTACCTTAACAGAAGTCTGACGTAGTTCAGTGAAAATAAATAAATAATTAAATGGTATGATTGTTTTCCGATAATAGACCTCGGATGTAACGGAATAAATACCGATGGTAATTAATTGTTGACTTTGTTGTATCGTGCTTAAGCACTGACGTAACGCGATTAAAATTATGAAAAATAAATCGATGAATTTTGTTGCGCCGTAGCAGCACATCAACTTAATGCAATGGAAACTAAATTGTAATTGTTGTTAAATTGCAGAAAAAGAATGTCATACGTGAACCTGTCACCGCATTCTGAAGATTGGACTATTATTATTATTATTATCTAAGTATGCGTAGACATCTTCTTGATGCACTCTTCTTCATTCAGGTTTATCGTGGCCTTAAATCCTGCTCCTCCCTTCTGGATAATGCTAGTCTTCGTGTTCCTACTTGCCATGTTCGAGACTTCTCTACTTTTAGCGTTCGTCCCTCAAAAAGACACTGTCCCTCTTCTAGGTGCGCCCTTGCTACCAACGTGGTGGGTAAAGATCTCGACATATTTGCAGACGGAGCGGTTTCTCTGAATCATATTTTACAAGCATGTACCAAACCTTTTACGGTGTTACTTGATTAGTGTTTTCATTCACTACAAATATGTGTTACCTCGGCTAGCTTTAATTATTCTTATGTAATTGGTTTTAATTTATTGACTGGTTATTAATTTTATTAATTTTATGCTATCACTCACTGGTGTCTTATCTTAGTATTTAGTTACTAACAGTATTAGCAACATTCGTAATATTTCATAAATGTATGTATATATTTCAGTCTTCTTTAGATCTATGTTCACAGATTTATTTGTCGTATTTGTATTTTGTTTTAATTATTTTGTACCTTATATACTCGTGCTAACTTTGTAATTGGCCGCTGGGCTGTTAAGTTATTGCACGTAAATAAACATGAATTGAAT